CCCCTCCGGGGGGAAGCCCGCCCCCTGCCACTCCTCGCACAGGTCCAGGCCGTCGCCGGTGGCCGTCCCCACGGCCATCCTTGTCACCTGCAGAGAGAGGCGCCAGCCGCAGCTCGGGGACCAGCCCCCCCGGGGCTCTCGCGTCCCCCAGCAGCTCCGCACCAAACCGCCCCCGTTTCCCACCTTTCCTGCCCCAGTTCCAAACCGAAAGCGGGTGCAAACGGGAGCACCCGGCTGCAGGGAGATGGCTCGGGTGCTCCCCGGGGACCCCCATCGCAGCCCCGCTCAACCCTCTACGAGGCCTCAGAGCCCCCCGGGGCCGGGGCTGCTCACCTCTCCGGGGAGCCTCTCGCGCCCTGTGGCTCCCCGCCGGTGAAGGGCTCCGGTGGTGGTACTGGTGGCTCATCCAAACTGGTTTGGCCGCATTCGCAGCCGGCAGAGGCCACAGCTTGTCACGGCACAACCGGTTTCCTCCCAGCTGGGCCGGATTTGGGGGTTCGGCCGCACCGAGCCCCCCCCACGCTATGGGCCCCCGAAACCCTCCTCTGAGCCAGGGGCATTGGCAGGGGGGCTGCACCCCAGGAAAAGAGGGGGTTCACCCCTGGGGAGGGCGGGGGCCACGCTGGGCACCCCCGGGGTGAGCAGGGCAGCACAGATCTGTCGCGGAAGAAAAGTCGAGAGCCGAAAGTGGAAGAAAAGAGGGAAATTTAATCCTCGGCACGCGGGGGTGACAGTCCCGGGCTGGCTGCGCGTCCGGCCCCCCCACGGGAGGGAGAGGGGCAAGAACGCGTTAACCCCCCCAGTGCCTTCATTAAGTGGGTGCGAGCGCTGCCCCAGCCCCGCTGCCCGCGGGGCCCCCCAAAACCCACCCTGGGGGGACCAAACCCCAGCAGCGCTGTCGGGGGGGCGGGAGCCTGTCGGGGGGCAAACTGCACCGAGGACCCATCTCCGGCGGGAAGCCGAGCTCTGACGAAGGCAGCTGCAACCCCTCCGCACCCGGGCACCCCACTGGGACCTGTCCGGGGACCCCACCTCCTCGTACGGACCCCAAAAGCCGCCGGGCACCCGCTCTTATTTTGGGGAGCCGGGGGGCTGCCCGGCGGCGATGCGGCTGACCCGCTCCAGGACATCCTGGGGGCAGAGGGGGGGCACGGCCTGTGCCAGCGGGCATTCCTCCACCAGGCTGTTCATCGGGGTGGGCGGCGGGACCACCTCCTCCTCCGGCCCCCCGGCAGCGCCCGGCACCCCCAGGGCTGCCCGCAGGATGGGCAGCACCTTCTTCCGCGATGCCAAAGCGTTGCCCTGGGCGTAGGCGCCCACGCAGGACCAGGGGCTCGGGAGGGACTGGAGGTGCAGGGACGGCGCCGTCGCCTCCTCCAGCGCCTGGCACACCTGCAAGGGCGGGAGCGCGGCGGCTGGCACCCCCCAGCACCCCCAAACTCAGGGGCTTTCGGGGCAAACCCGAGCGCCGCAGCCGAGAGCTGCCCCAGAGCCGCGTGCCAAGGGTTTGAGGTGCCCGGCCCCCCCACTCACCGTGCTCCGGAGGGTCTCGCGCCGGCTGTAGACCGCGAGCTGCCGGGAGGGCTCATTGCGCTCGTTAAAAGAGATCATCATGGCCACCAGCCCCGCGTAGCCCCGAGCTTGGCAGAAAGCATCCAGGTCCTGCAGCAAGCCGGGCCGGCGCAGGAAGGTCTGAAGGGGAGGAGACGCTGGCGTCACCCCGCTGTCCCCATCGTGCCACCCCTGCCTCGGTTTCCCCGCCGCCCAGCCTCACCTCCAGGTCCACGTAGATGGCGCTGACAGCGAGGAGCAGCCCATCGCCGGAGAGGACTTTGAGGTCCTTCCGCAGCATCTGCTCCGTTGTCAGCCCTGGGAGACGAGAGGGGCCAAGCGTGAGCCCCGGGGACGTGTCCTCTCCCCAAGGAGAGGGGTCTGTCCCGGGACCCGCTCCCAGCCAGACCCGGACGCCACTGCCCTGGCACACGGACCTGAGACGTCAAACTTGGCCGCTTGCAGGGCTTCAAAGACGGCGTCGCGGGCCGGCAGCTCGGGGAACCTCGCCTCGAGCAGGGAGATGCACGCCACGTCCCTGGGTGTCACCTTGCCGGCCGCCGGGCTCAGGTTGACACAGTCCAGGAGGATGGTGCCTGCGGGGGACAACCGGGGGCCATCAGTCGTCACCGTCCCCCTCGGGCGGGGCTCAGTGAGGGCCGCCATCCTCACCGTGCAGCAGCGCGGCCGTGGCTCTGTCCAGCACGCCCGGGGGACCCTGGGCGATCCGTTCCGTCACCAGCGTGGCGCAGGAGCCCACCGGCTCTGCTGTCACCTGGCAGCCGGGAGCTCGGTCCCGTTCCAACGGCCGGTGATCCAGGACCTCCACCACGGCCTCTTCCAGGGCCGCGTCGGCGCTGGCGGGCGAGACGGGGAGGGTGAGACCCCCGGCACGGCCCTGGGGCGCAGCCGCCACGCGCCACCCCCAGCAGAGCCTGGGAACCCCCTTTGCTCCTCTCCTCCTACCCTAAAAACACCTCGGGAAGGGAAAGGTTTTACCCACCCCGGGCCAAAACCAAGCAAGGAAAAAGTGAGGCTTCGGGTGGGTGGCCCCGGTTGTCCCCACGCCCCCCGCTGCGGCTCACCCAGGCAGGACGTGGTGATCGACCAGCGTCAGGGAGAGCAGCCCGGCGCGGTGCAGCCCCCCCAGGTCGATCTCGTCCCGAAAGATGAGGGCGGCGGCGGGGATGCCCTGCTCCCGCAGCAGGAAGGTCGTCTCCGTCCGGAGGGCGAAGTCGGCACGAGGGATGTTCAGCACCGGGATGAAGGCGGCTCTGGGAGCCGGGGAGGTCTGTGGCGGGGGGATGACAGCCGGTGAGGCGTCCCCCAAGCCCCCATTTGTCCCCGAGCCAGCGGGCGAGCCTCACCTTTGCCAGGAAATAAGCCAGGGCCAGGGCCGAGACGGTGGAGTCCAGGTCACAGGCCTCGTTGCCCATCACCACGTGGATCTCCTGGTGATGCCGGATGTGCTCCTGCCGGGGCGGGAGGCGTCAGGCGCGGCAGCAACGCGTCCCCATCCTCCAAAGCCCCCCGGGCCGGTCCCTTCCCCTTCGTCACCCTCGAGGGGACGTGCCAGTGTCCCCAGAGCCACTCGTCGCAGGTGCCACCCACAGATGCCACCGGCCGGCACCCATCTCCCAGCTGCCGCCAGCAGCGGACGGGCTCCTGGTGTCCCCGAAGTGCCACTGGGCCCGGTGCCCTGGCCAGGATCCGCTTCGGGCACAGAAGCCTCACGTTTTTGGGGCACGTGCGCGAAACTGGGCGCATCGGGGCCCTGGGAGAACGGGAGAACCCAGCTCGGCCGGGAGCGACCGCGGCAGCGGGGCCGGGGACCTTCCTGCCCCGGGGGACGCTGTCGCAGCCCTGGCAGCCTTCAGTATTTTAACCCCAGACCAAAGTGGTTTTTCCAGAGGCAGCGAGTTTGGGGCTGGCTGTCCCCCAAACACGACCTTCACCCCTTTTATTCTCGCCAGCAGCAGCAAGAAAAATAAGTGTCACCCACGTCACCCCGCCAATCCCCCGTCCCCGGCTGCTGGCGCCCGTCCTGCCACGCTCCAGGGAGCTGCCCTGTCTCCAGCCCTTTTTCGGGGACAATTATTTCATGCCGTAACCCAGATTCGCTCATTTATTCGGTACAAGCTGAGGAAGTAAACAGCCGGGAGCTGCCCGCCGCATCCCCCCCGCAGCGGGCCGGGGACCCGCGCCCACGTGCAGCGAGACCAGGCGAGGCCGCGGGGTGGGGTGGGGGGTGCTGGGGAGCCCCCGGCCGCGGAACCGGCTC